GAATAAGGTAAGCCTTTACTGGGTTCCGGGCTACAGAGGAGTTTTGGAAAATGAAAAAGCTGATGAGCTAGCCAGAACTGCATCAAAAACTGCTTTTATAGGCCCTCAATCCTTTTGTGGAATAAACTGGGCCAGTACAAAACAGATTATCAAGGAAATGGAAAATCATATGCGGCTGGACTACTGGGTAAACTTTCCAGGACTCAGACAAAGCAAAGCACTGATAACACCGTACTCCTACAAAGACATTCTTAAATTCTCAAAATGTAACTTAAGGTTGATAACGGGTTTAATTACAGGTCATTATGGTCTGAAATATCACCTTCATAAACTACAATTATCTGCTAACTTGGAATGCAGATTATGCCTCGAAGATGAGGAAACGACCATGCACATTCTTTGTGACTGTCCAGCTTTAATAACGCACAGAAGAAATCTGTTTCATAAAGAATTTCTGTCACCAGAACAGATTAAGAACTCTTCTCTAGATTTAGTTTTAAACTTTATTCACAAAGCTTTAAGGGGCTTTGTTTAATCAATAGTGAAACTGGTACAATAGGTCCCTTCTGGCCGCAGTACCGGCTGTTGGGCAATTTTCACGTCTACTCTTTTAATAAATAATAAATAAATAAGGAGGTAAAGAGAACTAGCTGAATAATGATGATTAACTTAAGTTAGTTGTACATTCTACATTTGAGGTTATAATGAATATAATAAACTCGGTTGTAAGCAGGGAAAGGGAATTCGTTAGGTTGCATATAAATTGCATTAAAATCATTCGCTTTTCTATTTGCATATTATATTCTGTGAATGTTTTCGTGACTACTTAAATATAATTCATTGAAGTTCAGAAACAACCTTTTTGTTTATTCATTAATGAAATAATGACTTCCCAAGTCCTTTCGATTCTTTTTTCATTTCGTTGAATAGAAATCAGTTAATTAAAAAATTTTTATTTACCTAACTTTTCTAATTTAATTGCAATAAAATTCGTATAAATGCGATGATTATCTTTTATGCTTTGAATGCTTTATAACACTTGAGCATATTTTTTCTTTTAAACAAAAAGCAGCAAATAAATTTACTAAAAACGAAATTATAAGCTGAAAACACAAATAAAACTCATAAAACAAAAATCTTAATCCTTCATTTTCTCCTAAAAAACACTAAAAAAAACGTAAAATTCTCATGAATTTAACATTTGATGTTTGTGGATTTTGAATGCGAAATTCCAATTCCCAAAACTTTGAGTACCACCATCAGTGACCATGATTTTATGTGCATATTTAATTTTTTATATTGTGCCTTTCACGCTATGACCTTGCTTATAGGGGTAGGAACGCTGGGGCATAAAGTGAGCCAGTGCAGTACCTCAGTCTGTTGAAAAATATTTGCCCATCCTTTCAACTAAGTTTTATGTAAATATTTTATTTTTGTTTGAAATTTCCATTTTGCATTCATATTTTTTTAAACTTTTTTTCCTTTTTTTTGTCATATTTTGTATATATATTTTATACAATATGGCGGCATATCCGGTACGATATTTTTTTATTAACAGAAAATCCTTAAATGCCCTACAATGTGGCTGAGAGTTATAAAAAGAGGTTGACTTTTGATTGTGGTGCCTTTAAAATTCCATAAAATATTTTTTATGAACTTAATTTTTTTCCCTTTTTATAATAAATAAGCTTTGATAAGTATTTGAATTATTTCATTAAAATTGCTATAGTTTATTTAATAAAATTTTTGTTGTTGCTCTTCATCTATCAAATTGACGTCCATGCCTTAATGCCAAGCAGCAACAATTTAATGTGTTCGAATGAGAATTTCGTGGTGTCGGTTAAGTGTCTAACGTTTGTGTTTGTTGGACATGTGACCAAAGCAAACATCAATCATTCAGTACATATCAAGAACCACCAGCATCGAGTGGAGGTGATGGTGGTGGCGTGTTGTTCGATACTTACCTTTATTATGGTACTATATGTAAGAGAATAAAGCGATTTGCGGTTGCAAAGAATTCATTACCAAAGTGATTAATAAAATGCACGTTCTGTGTGCTTAATTTAGAAGTTAATTTGTTAATTGGCCAGTCTTTGGTTTGAGGATTAGCGCTAGTTCAACTAGATATCATGTACTTGGTAGCATATATTGACGGCAACAAACTGTGCACATCAACTTACATATAATAACAATGAGAAGGTTTAAATGCAGTAATATCATGCGAGATACTTCGCACACGGCATTATATTCATTGGTTTGTATTTAATGCAGTTAAGGCCATGGCTAAAAGCTAATGTAAATTACCAGGGATTTCCAGAAATATGACCTTAAGATTTAGATCGCTTATTATCAGTGTAAGTACTGCTAATAATTTCATTCTAAGTTATGTGAAATGTTGCTACACACATAATGAAGAGAAAGGAATTTAGTTAACTTATAAAGTATAGTATATAGTATGAATGAAGGTGGAGTACAAGGTAAAAACGAATTTTAAAACTCTAATTCCACGTACTTCTACGTAGGCTGTCTTTTAAGTCTTGCGCCTAGGCAACACTAAGTATTAGATGAATTTTGATATTTTTGTTTGAAAGGTTGACATTTTCTAGCATAAATGTCATTATAACTTTTTAGTTTATGCGCGCTTATGGTCTTTTCTGGATTAACCAGAAAATAATGCATCGATCAACTAAGTTCGATATTTGGTGACGAAACACCACATCCAGCGACTGTTCAATCCAGCTGGTTCATAGAGTTTGAACGTGTTCTTCGTTTTTCCTCGAAAAAGGCTATTGTGCCCGAAAACATTGATGCAGCTCGAGAAAAAATTGAAATGAATTGGCACGTTACATACCGGTGTCCTTGGGCATTAAGGGGACCAGCATGCATTTATTTTTACATAAATAATAAGCTGTTAGAAAGATTTGTTCCCGTTGGTTACCCTATAATTTGACAATCGGTCAAAAGCAGGCACGTGTTGATTAGTACAAAAATATACCGAAAAAGTACGGCAAAAGGTATCTCAAAACACCGCTATGACATCGTGACAGGTGACGAATCATGAATTCAATGTTGTGAAGTGAGCAAAACCACCCAAGAAAAGTTGTCCGCAGACGAAGCAAATCCAAACAAATTATCGCAAGTTTTTTCAGAAAACCGGTCATATCAGAACTATAACAACTGAGCAACGTAAAACGGCCAATTATGAGTGATATACAACCATGTGTTTGCCCGGAAGTCTTCGGAGAATTAAACTAATCGTCGAACGAAGACAATGCGAGCTCGCACACATCAGTTCCAACATAAGAGTTTTTAAAGACTTAAAACATAGAATTAATGGGTCATCCGCCTTACAGCTTAGACTTGGTACCAAATGAGTTTTTGTTTCCAAACTTTAACAAAAAATTCGTGACGAACGTTTTTCTACGCCCGAACAGGCCATTGAGACATGTACAACCCTGGTTTTAGAGATACTAAAAATATATTTTTTTACAAATCTTGTTTTCTTTGGACTATACTATATATAAACATTTGTATAAATGTATATATAATTGTATACTCAATAAGTTCGGCGAAATACTGTTCAGTTCTTTTGGCTTTGCACAGGCTCAAATTAATTTAGTTCAGAGACTAGCGAAAAACTAACATTTGAAATGACCGAATATTAGTTAAGTATTTTCCATAAAAAATCTCATGACTTCTAAGCAATCAGAACATATTTTCTTTATTAATAATATTATTAATTTAATAGTTACTGAAGTCACTCTATTATCCTTGTGGATGTTGAAATTTAAGTCACTCGTTGTAGACGAGTGACTTCTAGGATATTGACAATTAAAAAACAAAAGTTATTTAAGAGAGTGAATGCTTGAATCTAAAAGCGAATCTAATATCTACAATGTCAGAGTAGAGTGATTGCTGCTTATTATATTATAGTACAGAAGTAGTTGTTGCTCATGTAATATGAATATATATTATTTTTAATTATTTTAATTAAAATATTAAAATAATTTTAAATTAGAAGCAAATCATTTTTAACAAAATGCTACCTTTTTTTATCTTGGTAAAAATTTTAGATATCTGGATACAAATAATTGTTTTCATATATTACTGATTGATTAGATTATAATATAGAATTCTATTCATAGAAAGTATGAAATTCATATTTCAAACTATCGATCCAACTATTTGATCGATTTTAAAAAATATTTGTCAATGAATTCTAAAAACCTCCAGTACATGGAGTACTTACGTGTCATTAAAGTCAAAGTTAATTTCCTTGGTGCATTCTATACAACTATTATTAAATACGTACATATGGGTCAAAATATAAAATTATAGTGTAAAATCGTAATCGCATATGTGAGTTAATATAAATAAAGTAATTACTGACAAACACATCAACTGCAAGTGCCAATATACTCGTAATGAAGAGGATCAAATATAGTATGCGATTTTGAAGCATGCACCCATGAACTTTCGTGAAATATGCATAGACATGCACTCCTCACAAATCAAATAACTAGTGGGTGAAATTACCACTGGCATGTACGTCAAGTAGGCGTTTATGCGTCAATAGTTATGATATGGTGTGGTCATGGTTTTGAGAATGTCGCATTGCATCAAATGAAAGCAAAAACAGTAACACAAACCCTTCAACCTAAATGTATGTCTATATTGACTTACTTTTTTTTTGTTTTTGCGTTGCGGATTATATACGCAGTTACACGTATTGTCGTTTAGAATGACCGACCCAACATTTTGTTCAAAATTATGGATTCGAAATTCTGTTGCACGTTTGCACTGTTGCTGCTATGTGTATTGCAAGTCCAGCAATACTCGTTAATTATTTAAATAGACAACAGCTGAGTGTCGCTTATTGGATCACATTGTGTTAGAAACCAAAGCCCTAGTTGTAGTTTGTTTTTTAAATTTCTTTATTTTTTTTATTATTTTTTATTATTGTAATTATGTCTAAATATGTATTTGGTTTTTACTTTCAGAATGACGTTGCCGATACGTGTCATTTGCGCATTGTTGTGATAAATGGAAAATCGTTGGCGAAAAAAGATATTTTTGGTGCTAGGTAACTACAACACCTATATAATTGCATGTTCTTATCGATAATATTTCCATTACAGTGATCCCTACGTAAGAATTGATTTGAACACAATAAATGGTGATATTAATATTGATTCGGTCTTAACAAAGACCAAAAAAAAAGTAAATATATATAATAACTCTCTCAAAAATGATAAAAAATTATTTGAAATTTCATTTTTAATTTATAGACCCTAAATCCCACTTGGAATGAAGAATTCGTATTCAGAGTAAGTACATTTTATTATTTACTCACGATTTTGTATTTCTTGTATTTTGAAATCGATGTATATTATTTCTGATGTAGTCTAAAACAATCGAATGCCGAAGTCAGTATAAAACTTTAACCCTAAGTCAGTGTAATCTGAACGTCAAGTGGTCGTCTAGCACACTAAGCTCAAACGTATGTTTTTGGTTGTGATATAATCTATTCTCTTATTGCAAAACTGCGCTTTAGTAATGCCATTGTAATAGCGCTTGTCGCTCCTCTTCTATATATTAAATGCGCCGCGTGACATAAAGTTGTGACGTCACTGCGTTTTTTTTTAAAGCTGTTTAAACTCATTTCTTGAGTGAAACACTTAAGGCAACAGTGGATGACCCAAGACCTTCTTAAGCCCTGAAAAAAAGTTTAAAGATGTTTTACTTATATATGGTTAGCCTGGTCTTATAGTATATCATAGAGTTCTTGATATATTTTAATCTGTCGAAACACAATTCTCACAATAGCAACACATGTTAAGAACTTTGTTGTCTGACAACCTTGGTCTCGTACTGCACTTTTAGTTGACGGAATTTTCTATTAAATCGAATTGTAATTACTTGATTTCTTAATGAAGCGATGCTGAATAAGTTATATCCAAATTAACATTACCATTATTTTGCGAAAACTGACAGACTTACCAACACCGCCTTATCGAATCTCAGAATGGTTACAGGCTCCTCGGGGAGGTATGCAAATCTGAGGTCAATTATTACTTAGTCTGATGTGATAAATAATACCTCGAGTTAATAAAGAGTAAAAGTGCTAATACCTCGAGTTAATAAAGAGTAAAAAAGCTACTACTTACATTATGAAATATTCATATGCAAAATATATACTTATTAAAAACTATTTATTAAATTCTGGAGATGTCTTCAGACCTCTAACTTTTATGATATTGTTAAAATGCTTGGCATATATAAATCTTAGCTTAATTGTTCCCTGACTCCATTCCATTAAGTTAGCTGGCAAGTTACTACAATCTTGAAACAGATTTCAATCAATTTCGCACACTGCCTGTCTTATCCTCAATGCTTTAATTATTTCAACATAAATCTAAACTCTCATGTTTATTAAACAAGACGTTTAAATGTATTATAGTAGACTGATTGTACTTTCTGTCTGCTGGGATAATCCTTAGGGGTTATAATCATAATGTTAACAATATAGGGAAACCTTATTGTTAATATTATTATGATAACAGGATGTACATTCTAAATAAAGAAGAAAAAGTGATTTTTCTGAAGTCCTTGCGAAGAATGAAAATTAATAATTAACTTGAAAAGTTAATTATATTTTCCTTTTGTATATGTTGTAAAATTAATTACAAAATAATTATTAAAATTTAAAATTATTTTTATTAATATTTATTTACTGCTCTTGCTCAGGTAAAGCCATCAGAACATAAATTAGTGTTTCAAGTTTTCGATGAGAACCGTTTGACGCGAGATGATTTCCTAGGTATGGTCGAATTAACTCTGGTCAATTTACCAACAGAACAAGAAGGACGCACTATTGGACCACAAAGTTATGCGCTTAGGCCGAGAAGGTCAGTAGGGTATGTTTATTTTGGTTATCTTATGATTTAACTTTTTTTCTGTTTCTATATTTTCTTTTGAAAACAAGGTCAACCAGAAAACTATAAATTTGGTTTTGATAAATTTGTTGTATGCAGAATGAAATTCTTTAGTAGTTTTACTCTACTTTGTTTTCGATTCATAAAAGTTTTCTAAAATGAGAAATCAATTAGTTCACCTCACCTTTATAGTAAACATCGTATTAAACGTATTTATTTGCCTTCTTACTAATTGACTACTTCACTTAAATTTCCCTGGAAAAACATGCTTTCTCTAATGGTGTTTTCATGTAAACTGAAAACAATTATATATAATATATTTTATGTTTGTTATTGTCCTTTAGTTTTTAAGTTGTGTTTATTGTCCTTAGTTTATTGGGTTGTGGTAGTGTCATACTAGTGTGACATATTTGTGTATCCAATTCAAATGTTTCTATATATTCTGATACTATTAATATTTTTTACATTTCTCTTAACCAACAAACAAAAAAAAAATCAAAAAAAAAAAAATAGCGCTAAGTCACGTATAAAAGGCACTTTAGAAATTTATCATGCATTCATACATGAGACAAGAGAAAATGCCGAAACAAATGCTGAAAATGAATGGGAGCATGTGGAGGATGTCTCACTTAATGGCGCAACACAAACAGTTGTAAGTACATAGATATGGTAGATATCATTAAATAAAATAAAAATAGTATTACTGAGTTTATATAAATATTTTGGTTTTATTACAGAATCCATTTACAGCAAATGGTGGTCAAGATCCTTTACCAGTTGGTTGGGAGGAACGTCAAGACGCTAATGGTCGCACATATTACGTGAACCATACAGCACGCACCACACAATGGGAAAGACCAACCACGTAGGTATATTCGGTCTTATTATCAAAACTTTATTAAAATCCATTTAACAAATAGATTAACAATCAATAACGCGAATGTGAATGTAGAACAAGCAGCATCAGATTTCCAAAGACGTTTTCATATAAGTGTGGATGACTCCGAAACAGGCAGAGCGACGGTAATTATATATATATGGTTTCACAATAGCATTATAGAAATACCAAATTAACTGGTGTACATAGGTGGTGATATTAACTAATATCATTCGAGGTGTTATGCATGTTCAATTGGTTTGAATATATATTAAATAGTTGCATGTTTTAACAATTTTTTTTAAAATTATTTTTAACTTTACTTATATCTTTAAATTAATCATATTATAATTGTAATTATAATTATAATTAAACCTTATACAAAAGTATGGTCCTGTGGGCGGTACAGTGACGGCAATTTTACACGCGCAAAATAACAATTGTGAAAATTGTTCTACAGTCATCAACGAAAATGAGACTGGCAGTGCTACCAACAACACAAGCTCCCGCACAGGTAGCATGGATAGCAGCTGTAAATCATGTTCGGACTGTTGTCATTCGTGTGATACGTGTGATGGTCGTGCTGCTGTAAATGGAAGAATAAGTTGTACTGACTGTGGTTCATATCACAACGAAAACGAAAACGAAAACGAAAACGTTGATGAGCATGAAGAACACAGTGATGTGGAGAATCATATATGTGATAATGAAGAGAATCATAGCGCTGCGAGTGACGATTTGTTTTCAACTAAAAGCAGTAATCAGTTGGAAAGCGAAAATTGTGATATATTCGATACAAATTTGTACCTGACACGTATTTTTGTAAATAGATTTTATTATTAATTATTAAAGTGTAACTTTAGTGTGATTCGGTAGTGTGAAGCGTAGTAGTTGGTACAAATCCAAAATTTTCATAAAATGGGGCTAGTTGTGTTGTACACCTATAAACAATTGTTGCTAATTTCTTTTCAATTAAGTTATTGTTTTTGTTTATTTTTTTTTGTTATAAGTTTTTGTACTTTCTAATTTTATTTCATATTTTGCTTAATTTGTCATGAATTTTCATAATTTTTAGGATACCATCAGTCAGTGTAGTCTAGAGGAAAACACAATCTCAAGAACCCAATCATTAACATCATTAAATTCAAACAGTTCGAACAATTTTAATAATAACAGTAACAGTAGTCACAGTGATAATGACAGCAACAACAATAACAACAACAACAACTCAAACATGGATTATGAAAGGTTGTAATAAAAAACACATTTCGTTCTGTTTAACTCTTTTGCCTATATAAAGCCATATTTCTTTATTTATATGATACCTGTTTGTGTTCGTCAACTTTACTGAATTCGCCTCCAACATTTTTTTTTAATTATTTAAATAGTTTTGTTTACAATTCACTAAGACATCCGACTAATAGGTCTCAAATCTCTGCAACTAGCTTACAGACTGATCTACGCCCAGTGCGGCAGGCACCTGGAGTACCCACTGCTCTATCGAGACGAGCAATGACAAATTTGCGTAACCGCAATAACATGGAACGCCAACAATCACAGCAATCACATTTTGGTGAACATATTTCAACAGACATTTTTGGCAGTCGGCAGACCTCAAGAGAAGCGGTTAGATATAATTCGACAATTTATTCATAACACAAAGGATACATGTATATTCTTTTTGTCCAATAATGCAACCATTTTTATATACTACATTTAAGTAAATAATGTTGTTGTTGTACATTTCGAAACTATATTTCATAACTTGAATATCACTGTGTTCACGTAGTTTACCACTTGTAATACTGTCCATTTTATATACGAGTTACAAATACCTCCTTTTGTAGTTGTTGTTGTCATCTATATTACGAATTTAATCATACAAATCGCTTCAATTGATTAATAATCTTACTTGGGTGTATGGATTTAAACTGGCTTGTATGCCATAGAAATATTATATTATATTATATATTCTTCATAGAAATGTAAAAAAATTAATGGAAATGATTGCTGGTGTAGTTCATGGTTAATGGTCATTATAACAAAATTAACTATTTCACTAATAATTCATATAAACTATTTGTGTTTAAGATTGGATTTCAGCAATGATAAAGTAATAGCTGAATAATAACAACGGACTTTTTTATTATTCAAAACAGTTTTCATTAATACAATATTTGATTTTAATGCTTTCTATATATGTATATACATATATATATATAATAAGTTAAAAAAAAATTCTGTTGGGAACCACCAACCATCAAATAAAAATTTTATAGGAATATATGAATCAGTTTTACTGATAATATCATATAATATATTGTATTATTTTGTAGGAATATATGAAAGTGATTCATATTATAAAACATATTATGTTTGAAATTCATCCGTACTTTGGGTCAGGTGGAAGACTAAGGTTGGAATTTTATTCATGGTCTGTAATCAGATAATCTTCAGCAAAAAATGTTCTGGGTTCATAAGACAAACGGCGGAACGTTTTCTTTTTCGGTTAAGTTATACTGCTCTGTTCTGTTCTGTTGGAAGTTTTAATGTCTATTTTATAAATTTTGATAAAAAATAAAATAAATTATCATGAGAGTGTAACGTTGATTGTGAGTGTATCTTTACTCTATCTAAAGATATATATTTTAGAGTATCTATCTTTTTTTTTGTATCCTGCACATTTTATTTAATATGAACAGAACATACACTTCAAATAATGTGCATAGAAAAACGCTCAATTCTTTTTGCCCAAACAATTATAAGAAAATTTAGTATTTAAATTTTATATAGCATATAGTTTTTTTGTTTGTAATATAACTTAAAATTAAAATATTATTTAAAATACTGCAATTATAATTCAAAAAGTGCAAGTCGCATTTTTTTTATTAATCAAAGACTTGATTTTTATTAGAATTAAGTTTTTAAAATTAAATGAAATTTTTATACTCAAATTAAATTTTAAAATTTAAACCATTTTGTTTAATTAATTACTTATTTATTAAATATAATTATAAAATTTATACTAATTATGCTAAGTTTATTGTACTTTAATACTTAACGAGGGTAGTACTTTTTGTCTGCCTTTTTAACATTTTACTCGTATATATTCAAAAACTTTACATCTACACATCTTTTGTCTCATCACATATATTTTATAATTAATTTCTTTTTTCAATTAGTTTGTGTTCTTATAGTTTTTTATATAAATTACATTGCTTTATATATCATTTTTTTAAAAATGTAAATTAATTTTTGGTCGTTAAAAGATTTGTTTAAATTTTGCTTTGGCTCTTTTTTTTTTGCTAATAATTTTTTTTTTGGATTAGTAAATTCAAAATTTTATTCAAAATTATGAATTTCTGACATTTTTGTTTCTGTTCTTTTTATTTCCTATATAAACACGATCATTTGCAAACTAATTCGTTGCGTAATGCTTTGCCATCTTAAATTCAATCGGCAGAATGAAGATAGTGATCAACCTGATAGCGGTAATCGTTCTGAAACATCAGCATCATCAACAAGAAGAAATTCCGTGGAAGATAACGCAGCCGTAACAGAACAAGTAAAATGCTCGATTCAATTTTAATACAATTTCAAATTATTTAATTTTTTTTTAATGTTACTTTATTTATATATATTTTTCTATATTTAAAAATGATTACTTAGTTACTTTTATTTTATGTTTATATATTAAAATAAATTATACAACATATTATAGAATTTAAATGTTGATGAAGAACCTTTGCCTCCACGGTGGTCGATGCAAGTTGCGCCGAATGGACGTACCTTCTTCATTGATCATGCAGCTCGTCGTACAACTTGGATTGATCCACGCAATGGTCGAGCTAGTCCTATGCCAAATCAAACTAGACGTGTCGAAGACGACTTGGGACCGTTGCCAGAAGGTTGGGAAGAACGTATGCATACTGATGGTCGTGTATTTTATATTGATCATAGTAAGTGATTTTATTAAAAAAAAAATTACCAAATTTTGTTACTAGTTTATTTCTAAAATTTATAGATACCCGTACAACACAATGGGAAGATCCAAGATTATCCAATCCAAATATTGCTGGACAAGCTGTACCATATTCTCGTGATTATAAACAAAAATATGAATACTTTAAGAGCCATCTGAGAAAACCAGTAATAATTGCATTTTTTTTGTTTGTAGCTTAAGCAATTGATGATTTTTTCTCTTATTCAACAGACTAATGTACCTAATAAGTTTGAAATACGCATACGTCGTACATCAATACTGGAAGATTCATATAGAATTATTAGCTCTGTTACCAAGACAGATCTGCTTAAGACTAAATTATGGGTGGAATTTGAAGGAGAGACAGGTTTAGGTATGCATTCATATAATATAAAATCGTCTATTTTTTTTTATTTATATTCGTTATTATTTTATTCTCAATTAATATATTACTTATTCATCATGTTTTTTAAACTTTATTTAGATTATGGTGGCCTTGCAAGAGAGTGGTTCTACTTATTATCAAAGGAAATGTTTAATCCATATTATGGTTTGTTTGAGTATTCAGCTATGGATAATTATACATTACA